CTGCTGCTGCTGCTGCTGCTGCTGCTGCTGCTGCTGCTGCTGCTGCTTCTTCTTCTTCTTCTTCTTCTTCTTCTTCTTCTTCTTCTTCTTCTTCTTCTTCTTCTTCTTTTTTAAAGATTAAGTATGCTCAATTTATATTCTGCACGTCCAAATGATGTGTATTTTGTTTATCCGGGGGTCAGAAGCTGTTAATAGAGTTCAGTGTCTGCTCTGTTAGGTTCTGCATCATTGATAGCAAGCAGTTTCAGTTACCTGCTCACTTAACTAAAAGCAAATGGAGGGCTGGGGGGGTATCAGTTTGGAATTAAGGATTTAGATATCCTCACAAATCTAATTTTATTGAATGAATCATTTCCCTTTATACTTTGTCATTGTATATGCACTGTAAAGCAACTATTAGTTATCCTGTGAAACCTTATTTATGATATGCTTAATGAAAATAGAGTTTAAAGAGAAATCTATAGGGGTTTGAGAGATGGCACAGTGGTTAAGATCTAATGTAGCATTTTATAGGAATTACAGAATTAATACACTTACGTATTTATAAAGTTTTCTGGGGAAAAAAAAAAGAATCCACATTTTTCTATATCCAAGAATTCAAATGGAGGGTTGGAGAGATGACTCAGAGGTTAAGAGCACTGGTTGCTCTTCCAGAGGTCCTGAGTTCAACTCCCAACACCCACGTGGTGGCTTACAACCATCTATAATGGGATTTGGTGCCCTCTTCTGGCCCATAGGCAGAACACTGTATACATGATAAATAAAATAAATCTTAAAAATGAATTCAGGAATCTAAAATATTGACTGGGTGACATTGTACCTCTTCTGCATATGTACAGACTTCTTGCCATTACAGTATAATCAATCACTCTTTCTATAAGCATTTATATTGTTTTAGGAGTTTTAAGAAATCTAAGATAATTTAAAGTATTATGAAAGGATATATAGTTTATATGTAAACACTGAATCATTTTACATAGGAGGCTTAAGCATCTGCAAGTTTTGGTATTCTTGCGTGGGTTAGGGATATGTTGGAACCAGTTTCTTGCTACTGGGTTTTATGTGCTAATTTTTCTCTTACATACATGGAACACATCTTTTAATACAGAGTATAATTCCCCTTCTTTTTTAACGGAATGGCTGTTTTTTAAATGGAAAGACTGTTAGTGTTTTTTTAATATAGGTGCTTTTTGAAATAGGTGCTGTCCTTCACCAGTACCTATAATGCACAAATAATAGTAACTGTGATTCTAAGAACACCAAGCCAGTGTTGGGCCTATCAGGGAAAAGGAATACTTAATAGCTCTATCAGGATAATGTCAGTAATATACATTATATACAATTTATCTGTGATATTAAAAATGTATAGGGTGTGATTAGGGGAAAACTATCTAAAATTTTGAAGGGAGATAATGATAATGAAAAAGACTAAGCCATTGCCTTGAGAAAATTAATGGGGTGTTGGTCATTTTTCTATCCATCATAACTTTTAAGTGTGGTTTCTTACTGACTACAGTTTTGTTTGTCATAACAGTTTTGTTATGGCAGTCTTCTGCCTCAGTCTCCCAACTGCTAGGATTACTGGATTTTGATACCTTGCATGCCACTAGAATGAGTGTAGTGATTTAGAATAGTAGTGAATGAAAAAGCACTTTTACTTTTTTCACAAACCCTAAAAGCTGTTCTTTTGTTTGTTGTTGTTTTCTTTCTTTCTTTCTTTCTTTTTTTTGAGATTGGATCTCACTGTGTCTTGGAAACCATTATGTAGATGAGACTAACCTCAAACTCATATCTATAGCTACCTGTCTCTGCTTCCAGGTGCTTGAATTAAAGATGATTGACACCATTCCTTGCCTAAGGGTTGTTCTTGCTAGAAGTTAGATATGCACTTTTATTGATGATTAGGTCTTACTTGGAAATATGGGTAAGACTGGGTGACTTTTGGAATCTGAAATGATTAGGATATGTCAAAATTTGACATTTTTGTAAAGATTTATTTATACAGTATTCTGCCTGCATGTGTGCCACAGGCCAGAGGACACCAGACCTTGTAGATGGCTGTGAGCCATCATATGATTGCTGGAAATTGAACACAGAACCTTTAGAAGAATAGCCAGTGTTCTTAACTTGATCCACCTCTCTAGCCTTCAGTTTTACATTTTTGTTGCCATTGATATGTATTTAAAAAAGACTTCACAAAGCAGAACTTGATGCTCTTAACTTTCCTTGTCAAAGTAGAAAGTAGTTTATTTAGTAGGTCTTCAGAGTTCATTTTTATATGTGACCTGTCAAAGGCATATAATTTCGAGTGTGCACATTTTCCACTTGAAGTAGAAACAGTTGAATGTGTTCTGGGTTTTCTTTAAAATAATGAGGCTAGGAAAGGAAGATTACAGACACTTGTAAGAGTATCCTTTAAGTTGCTTTCTTGGAAATGGCAGTATATGTATTTGGATTCATTAATGCTTTTTCACCAAGTCCAATGTATACCGTTGGGGTTAAGAATGCAGTCTGTGGCTTTGGAACACAGTGAAGCTAACTAGTCCACGTGGAGATCAAACCCCAGGACCATGGTCTCAATTAGCATCACTTCAGTCACTTGGAAGCAATCCAACTACCAGACAAAATGACTGTTCCTAAATATTGGTAGAATCATTTAAATATGGAAAATATGGTTAGTATCACCGTAGGAAGTTATAAGCATACAAAAATAGTTATTGTAGTGCACCAGGTTAGTGTAGCTTCAATTACTGCCTGCAAATGATTGTCTACTAATGTAAAAATTTTCATACATTTTCTACTAACTGAAAATTATATGTCTTAATCTTTTCCTGTAAGTGAAAGTAGAAATTTAAATACTTTTAGTCTTGTACTCAATAACCTTGCATTCTATTTTACTTTCCTTTAGACTGTATATTGTGGTTAATCTCTGTTGAGGATGGAAATATAACTCCCTTTGAATAATTATAATAATTTTACTTGATGTACAGAACCAGAGTGCCCACTATCCTTTGTGGGAAGTTTTTTATTTTTAATTTATGTATATTGGTGTTGTGCCTATATGAGGGTGTTGGATCCTGGAATTACAGACAGTTGTGAGCTGTCATGTGGGTGCTGGGAATTGAACCTGGCTCCTCTGGGACAGCACCCAGTGCTCTTAACCACTGAGCCATCTCTCCAGCCCTTGTGGGAGGTTTTTTAAAATCAAGTGTATGAGCCACTGTTGGCAGCAACAGCACCAGAAATTTCAGGTGACATGACAAAGCTTACCCTCCTTTTTTTCTAATTTTTACTGTCAGTGCAGTTTGAGTATGTTTGATTAAAAACTCATTACTAAGATGTTATTTTGTCATTGTTGTACATTAAAATTAATAGCGTTATTCACTGATTTGTCTTAATTTCTGCCTTTTGCTGAAGGTGGCTTTTTGTTGAAGGTGGCTTTTTGTTCTTTGACTTACCTTGCTGTCTTAGGTCTCCTATTAATAAGACTTACAGACATCCTGCCTCATAGTAAAGTCACTATGCAATATATTGGTAATTTAAAAAAGTTACATAATCATTATTAGTGCAGATTACCAAAAAAAAAAAAAAAAAGGAAATTTGAAGTCTCCTTGACTGTGTCTATGAATAGTGTTTTTCCTCCTTGTCTGTCTGTCTGTCTTTCTTTCTTTCTTTCTTTCTTTCTTTCTTTCTTTCTTTCTTTCTTTCTAAAACAAGTCTTATTCTGGCTTTTTGGGGGAATAATGGAACAATAGCCATTGTTTCTATAGTATCTTGGTGTATAGTATAGTTTCCTTGGTGCCTATAGTATCTTATTGATCTATTTACCATCATATAGCAGTGGGGTCTTTTGGTCATTATCATATTAGAGTTCTCAAAACTTGTACGCCATATGTATGACAGTTCTTAGTAAATTGTATACATGGGAGAACTTAAGTTATGCCTGGTTATATCTGAATTAAGTTGTTTTGTATTGTTTTTAATATCTCAAAATTTCCTCATAAGGTAAAATAGTTCACATTGATATAGTTACTTAGTCTTAAAAAGGGATATTGACAAATTGAATTACTTCTATTAAATAAAATTACTTCTCCTATTAAATACCCTCCCATCAGTTTCTTTTTGTTTTCTTCTTATTCCTGGCTTATCACTTAGGCATGTATTAGGCATGTAAATGGCATCCTAGCATTGCTTTAATTCTATTGGTGACAGTGGCAAAATTTTACTAAATCCCATGTGTATTACTTTTCACTTGCTAATGTACTTGTCTAGATTTTAAAAGTTGGGTAAACAGTAGCTCTTTGTGTATTGAGAATAATACAATTATTGCAGGATATTATTTTGAATAGTTTTATTTATATATATTTTTGTTTCACTAGGTAATTAAGACTTTTTGAAGCATATATGTCCATATATATGTATGTATGTGTGTGTGTCCCTTTTATGACTTAGCGTAGAAAACATTAGCTTTCTCAGAGTAGCTAAATGAGATCTGAAAACCAAAGAGAATACTGGATGTTTACTTGTGCTCACATATTAAAACCTTATAATACCTCTTTTTGTGTGTGTATGGCAGTCTTATGACAAATATTCTTTTGAAATTTGTCTATTTTCATTTATGTGTTACTTTTGTTTTTCTTTTTCCTCTCTCTCCCTTTCTCTCTCTCTCTCTCTCTTTTTTGAGACAGGATTTCTCTGTTTAGCCCTGGCTGTCCTGGAACTCACTCACTAACTGTAGAACAGGCTTGTCTTGAACTCATGGATCCTCCTGCCTCTGCCTTCTGAGTGCTGGGAATATGTTATTGTTAAGAATATTCAAGAAAGATATTAGTTAAGGTCACCATTCAGGAACACATCTATTATAAAAAAGTTGAGTGAATCTGTATTCACATTTATTTAGTATTTTGACTGTCATATAATCTGGAACATTATTTCTGTGTCTTAGGAAGCGGAATATGGTGGACATGATCAGATAGATCTGTATGATGATGTCATCTCTCCATCTGCAAATAATGGTGATGCCCCAGAAGACCGGGACTACATGGATACTCTTCCACCAACTGTTGGTGATGATGTGGGTAAAGGAGCAGCACCCAACGTTGTCTATACTTACACTGGAAAGAGAATTGCATTGTATATTGGAAATCTAACTTGGGTAAGTAAAGGTAACATTGTTTTCAGTCATTTCAACTGTTCTGGTAGTCTGTGGTTTTGCCCAGTTTTGAAAAAAATTGACATTGCTATGTTTGTTTTTTTCTTGTTTACCTATATGATGAGAAGGGTAAAACCAAGTTCTTTTAAAGATATTACAGTTAGAGTTTTAAATTTCATAGTCTGGTTCATGTATATACTACTTAAATAGAGTCTGCATTTGTCTTCACTCACACTTTTTATGTTCCTACCAGTTTGACTAAGAAAAATGTTTACATGGGGGTCTCAAATTAAGAATTCAAGATTATAGGAGAAAGATAAAATATCACTACAGCTTAAAAATACTCATTTTTTAATGCGTATTACAGATTTACATTTCATTTCTGTTTTCAAATTTGAAATTAGCTAGTAGAACTTACTACATACTTTATTATATTTGTCACCTGGATATACTTTGTATTTATATTGGTTGAGTGCTTTGTGAACTGAATGTCTACTATATCTATGTTCTATTAGTGTCAAATCTGAAATAGTCACTAAAGCAGTCCTCTAAATTTTTTTTAATATCAACTATTATATTGGAAGCTTAAAAGTTGTAGGAAACTGTTTATAGCATTTTATGTGAAAATATTTTACTTCACATTGCTTCATTTTAATTTAATTATGTGTATATATCTGTATATGTATGTATTTGTGTATATGTGTGTCTCTGTACCACATACATCCCTCAGAGGCTAGTGGAGGGCATCAGATTTCCTGGAACTGGAGTTACAGAAAGTTGTGAGCCATCATGTGGTGCTGATGGTTGAACCTGGTGTCCTCCATTAGGCCGTCTCTCCATTTTTTTTTTCTTTGAACAAAATGACTGAGTCTCCTGTTATCTAATCTGAACAGTCTTTACAAAATTGGAAACAATAGGAGTGTAACATGAGACTGCAGTTGCTAAATGAGAATTGGCAGCTGGGGTGCAGTGGTGCACATCTTTAATCCTAGCACTGGGGAGGCAGAGGCAGGTGGATCTCTGAGTTTGAGGCCAGCGTGATCTACATAGTGAGTTCCAATATAGTCACAGCTACACAGAGAAATCCTGTCTCAAACACAAACAAAACAATTGGCATGTTTGTGTTTTGTGACTTTGAACAAGCTATTTACCCCCTCTGTTGCATCTTGTGAGAATGATAGGACTCCGGTAAGAGCTAAGTATTTGATAAAAACATAGATAGTAGGTATTCAATATAAGTGAGATTGGTTTTATTGAGAATTTAAAATCAGGATTTTAAAGCTGGAAGAAACCAGAAATTTGTAAGGAGTAAAACTGTATCTGTTTTCAATGGTATGTACTTTATAATTTCCAAAGCTCTTATCGGGAAATGAAGTTAGGCACTCAAGGTGTTTTCCTGCTATTTAAAAGTGGAAGGGTGACGGCTGGTAACTACACTTAGAATGTCCTGAACAGAGTCTTCTCCTACTGATTATTTTCCTTTACACTTTAAGTGTAGACAGTAAACCTGAATATGTTTTCATGGCTAATAAACTGAAATGTCTTACAGTGGACAACAGATGAGGACTTAACTGAAGCAGTTCATTCTTTGGGAGTAAATGATATTTTGGAGATAAAATTTTTTGAAAATCGGGCAAATGGACAATCCAAGGGGTAAGAATTTTGTTTTTTTCCTAATATAAGCTGATAGTGATTACAATTTACAGATTAGTTTTTCTTAAGTTTAATGCTGTTTACACATGTAGACATGTGAACATGTTAGTGCTGACAAGATGGCTTGCTGCACAAACCTGACAGTCTGAGTTAGTTCCTAGGAACCCACGTACACACACTAGAAGGAAGATCTTAGGCAGAGGTTCATTCTTGAATTTCATATTTCTTTTTTCTTAAAAGCACACTGAAGCTGCTTGAGATGGGGCTGTGGGCAGATGAGGCCTGTTTCCTGTCTTTACTGAGTACACTCCTTCTGAGTTTGAAATGATAATGCTAAGAAACATTATTTTTGTTTTGATTAAAAGATAGGGAAGGAGCCAGGCAGTGGTGGCACATACCTTTAATTCCAGCACTTGGGAGGCAGAGGCAGGCAGGAGGCCAGCCTGGTCTGCAGAGCAAGTTCTAGGGCAGCCAGGGCTGTACAGAGAACACCCCCCCCAAAAAAAAAAAATCTGGAAGAGCTAGATGTGTAACCCAGTGGTAGAGCCACTTGCCTAACATTTAGAAAGCCTCTGGGTTTGATCCCACCACCATAAATGTAAAAAATGATAGAGAAAGGGGAATAACTGAAGAAAAATGAAACCTAGGTATCTTGTCTCATTTTCCTAATGAGTAAATCACACAAGGGGATAGGATTATTATATGGCCATTATGTAATGGAGTTATCTAAAAGTTAAGAAAATGAATTGTCATACTTTCACTGTTTACAGATAATCACTTCAGTAAATGTGAGTCGACATTTTTCTCTAAAAGATAGTATTATAATTCACATTTTGTCATGTTTAATCAAAAAGAGCACTTTTTGTCTCATAAGTAACATATTAGGCCATTATTAAATCTTTTTTTTCTAATATTTTTTATTTTTAAATAATTTTATACATTCACTTGTATCCCAGCTGTAGCCCTCTCCCTCTTTCCCTCCCAATCCTCTCCTCCCTGCCCCCTTATCAAATCTTTTTTACATTAATTTATTTTGTATAATACAGTGCTTCAAAAATATATTTACAATAAGTTAAGCAACCATCACAGCTCTCTAATTTCAGAACATTTCACACACAAACACACACACCCATCAAAAGAAACTGTGTTTGCTGTCATTACTCCCTGATCTCCCTTGCACCCTTTGTTGACAACCATTCATCTACTGTCTACCTCAGGATTTGCCTTTTCTGGGTATTTGTGTAAATAAATTAATAATGTCTTGTGTGTCTGGCTTCTTTTACCTACATAATGTTTGCAAGGTTCATCTGTGTAGCAGCATCAGCATTTCTTTTCATACCTGAGTAATAATCCCATGTAATGGGATAGCATTAAGAGAGGAATCCATGATCCATTCACTAGTGACTGTTAGGGCAGTTTGTACTTTTAACTATTAAGGGAAAGTCCCTAAGAATATTAGTGTACTGTTTTGTGTGAACATACAGTTCTGCTTGTTTTGGGCATATACTTAGGATTGAAATTAGTAAGTTATTTGGTAAGTCTGTTTAACATTTTGAGAGACTTGTCAGATTGTTCGCATATTTATCATCAGTGCAGGAAGGTTGTAGTTTCTCATATCTTACCAGCACTGAAGAGTTGTCATTTTGATTATAGTGGGAAATTGCATCTCCTTATGGTTTGGTTTGTACTAATGGCTAATGATACTGAGCATTAGTTCAGTATGTGGGTGGGTGTTTTTTGCTGAATGTATGTCTGCGCACTCTGTGTGTCCAATGCCCGAGGAGATCAGCATAGCCAGGTGGATTCCCTGAACCTGGAGTTATGAATGGTTGTGAGGCACCATGTGGGTGCTGGGGATCAAGCCTACATTCTGGAAAAAGAGTCAGTGCTGTTAACCACTAAGCTCGCTCGCTCTCTAGCTCCTCTACTGAACATCTCTTTTTTTTTGTGGCAATGAAAAGTGAAAGGAACCTAAGTGCCTATTAATTGATTGGATTTAAAGCAAAACCAAAAAACGTACACAATGGAACATTACTTGGCCAGGGAAAGAAATGAATTAATGATGCATGTTCTAACATGGCTAGTCCTTGAATGCTAAGTGAAGCTGGTTGTAGAGGATTACTTATTCCATCTGTTTGAAATTCCAAATGAGGCATGTCAGTTGAGGCAAAACAGTCATGGTTCTCTGTGACTAAGGGATGAGAGTAACAGGAGCAGTGGTGGTGGTTTTGCATTTTCTTTTGGTAATGATGAATGTTATAAAACAAGCCATCATACGATGTTTGTAAAACACACAAGTATACCGAAAAGTTACTGGTTTGCACATTTTAAGTGAGTGAATTCTGTAGTATATTATAAAACATAGTTTATGCTTGTATTACCTTAACAAATAGTTTATTTTTTCTGATAAGAGTAAATTAAGACCATGTTTTTTTTAATCAAAGCAACATTTTCAGTTCCTTTTGCTTTTTATTCTTACCCCTTAACATCTTATAGATTTGCCCTTGTTGGTGTTGGATCTGAAGCATCTTCCAAAAAGTTAATGGATCTTTTGCCTAAAAGAGAACTTCATGGTCAGAATCCTGTTGTAACTCCATGTAATAAACAGTTCCTGAGTCAGTTTGAAATGCAGTCCAGGAAAAGTAAGCAAATCTCTCAGCAGCCTTTTTTTAAAAAATGTATTTTGAGCAGTGTTGCTGGCATTTGTTAAAATTTATACTTAGGAAGCTATGTTACTATTTAGATTATTGGATGAACTTGATTTATCATTGGTTGTGACTATGGTCTAGTATACTGGAAACCCACTTCCATTCCTTTTTTTATCTAGATGTCATAGACCCAGAGTATGCAGTAGTTTGAAAGCTATATAATGCTGCCATTCTAGTCCTGTTACTCATCTTAGAGAAAGGAAGCTGTGTTCCAGCCCTTAGAGAGGAGACATATATATATATGTTCTGATGTTGGGGGGAGAGGCTAATGACAACCAGGATATAGTTACTGATTTTTCTTCTTGGCACCAAGAAGAAAATATCGAAGAGACTTGTTATTTATACACGTTTTTAAAGAGATAAGGTGGATAACCCATTTAATTAATAGAAATTCAAGTGGTTGTTTTTGTTTTAATTTTTTTTAACATTTAACACACTTAACTGAAGAATGTATTACATGGGATAAAATAAATAATCTGTTATTGAAATTAAGATTTCTGTCGACGGCCTGGAGAGATAGCTCAGAGGTTAAGAGCACTGGCTGCTCTTCCAGAAGGCCTGAATTCAATTCCCAGCAATCACATGGTGCTTCATAGCCATCTATGAGATCTGGTGCCCTCTTCTGGCTTGCAGGTGTACATGCAGACAGAACACATTGTATACATATTAAATAAATTAAAAAAAAAAAGTTTTCTGTTGAAAAATTTCTTGTCTTGGTTCCTGCAGAGTACTGGTATTTTAAACACAACTTGTTTATCTATTCAGCGGGAATACATTCAAACTTGAATATTTTAATACTAAGAAAATATTTAAATAAATGAATGTTTTCCTAGCCAAATACTTTGTGTAGGTCCAAGGCATCTTCAAATTGATATAGTATGAATAAACTTTGAAATAGTTTCTAATAACAGTGGTTACAATTCAGAAAACTGTTCTAATAAGTGCTACTTATGAGTATTTGGATGTTTGCAGCTACACAATCAGGACAAATGTCTGGGGAAGGTAAAGCTGGTCCTCCAGGAGGCAGTTCACGTGCAGCATTTCCACAAGGTGGTAGAGGACGGGGCCGTTTTCCAGGGGCTGTTCCTGGTGGGGACAGATTTCCTGGGCCAGCAGGACCAGGAGGGCCACCTCCACCTTTCCCAGGTAAAACTTTTAAGTTTATCATAGAGAAAACATGTCTGCCTAATACCTCGTTTCCTTTTCTCTCTTTTTCAAGTAATGCATTATTAATGTGACTTACTCTCCTTGTTATGCTATTTTTGGAACCCAGGAAATTTGATCAAGCATCTTGTTAAAGGAACTCGGCCTTTGTTCCTGGAAGCTAGGATTCCATGGCATATGGGGCACAGCATAGAGGAAATACCCATTTTTGGCCTAAAAGGTCTTTATTTTTCTCCAAACTTGCTTGACTTATATATAGAATATTTACATCCGTCTTATTTTCTTACCTCTTAAAAAAATCCTTTCAAGACCATTTTTCCTTGTTTCACTTTCTAGCTTGGCATCAGAGTAGAATATAAGGTGGGTGATTTCACTGTAAGAAGTGTGTGTATGCTGAAAGATGGAAACTATCTCTAAGCGTTAAAATCTTAAAAAGTTTTTGTTCTAGTAATTTTTCTTAATCATTTGCACTAGTTAAATTTGTAAGGATATTCTTCACCTTTGTAGTTATTAGAGCATTACCATGTGGGTTTCATTTAATGAGAGAGTCATGGTTTATAAGTTCTGCTTTAGAAATATATTCTTGACATGTAATACATAATTACTTTATTGAGTTGTTTTTCTCATTTTCTCTCCTTTATTTTGTAGCTGGACAGACTCCACCACGTCCACCTTTAGGCCCTCCAGGCCCACCTGGTCCACCAGGACCTCCACCTCCTGGTCAGGTTCTGCCACCTCCTCTAGCAGGACCTCCTAATCGAGGAGACCGCCCTCCACCACCAGTACTTTTTCCTGGACAACCTTTTGGGCAACCTCCGTTGGGTCCTCTTCCTCCTGGGCCTCCACCTCCAGTTCCAGGCTATGGCCCCCCTCCAGGTCCACCGCCTCCACAGCAGGGACCACCTCCACCTCCAGGCCCCTTTCCACCTCGACCACCAGGTCCACTAGGGCCTCCCCTTACACTTGCTCCTCCTCCACATCTTCCGGGACCACCTCCAGGTGCCCCACCACCAGCTCCACATGTGAATCCTGCTTTTTTTCCTCCACCAACTAATAGTGGCATGCCAACATCAGATAGTCGAGGTCCACCACCAACAGACCCATATGGCCGACCTCCACCATATGATAGGGGTGACTATGGTCCCCCTGGGAGGTAAGTTCAACATGTAGTAATGAAACCGTTTAGTTAGTGAAAGATAAAGAACTGTTAGTGAAATCTATAATGCTGTAAAAATGTAAAACTAATTTCTGTCCTGCAGAAAGATCAGATTTCTAAGCTGCAGTTTTATTTCTGCCAGAAGACAGTGAAAAAGGGAATTTTGCTTAAACTTGATCTGGTAAAGAAAATAGCATTCTCCAATCTGGAAAAGTAACAACTGTCTCTAAGGCACATGCCAAAAACTATTAGTGTGGAGTTGTTTACATTATTACTAACCGAGAACTTTTAAGTAACAATTTAATGTTTATTTGTCTTTTGTAGGGAAATGGATACTGCAAGAACACCACTGAGTGAAGCTGAGTTTGAAGAAATCATGAATAGAAATCGGGCAATCTCAAGCAGTGCTATTTCAAGAGCTGTGTCTGATGCCAGTGCTGGTTTGTATAGTGTTAATTCTTATTTATGTTAAGAATAACCCCAGACTGGAGAGATGGCTCAGCCATTTAGACCTGGCTGCATTTACAGAGGACCCTGGTTTGATGCACAACCCTCACAATCCTTTCAGTTCTTAAGGATCCAAGGCCCTCTTCTGGCTTCTGCAGGCATCACATGCTTATCATGTAAAGACAGACACAGTCAAAACACCCATACACATAGAATAAAATTAAAGAAAACAACAAAAAAACCAAACCAAAACTTCAGTGCAAAACCCAAAAGCTTAAGTGCAGTTTGTAAAGACAGTTTTCTTAACTGTATATATCTCTGTATTCCCAAATCATTATCTCTCACTTAATATTAAGGTATTGAAGACCACTAATTTTAAGTTACTCGATTTAGATTTAGATATTAATTGGGGGTAGAGAGGTTGTTCTGTGGTTAACAGCGCTGACTACTAAGTGCTGGTATCCAGTATTCTCTTATTTCCTCATTGGGTACCAGGCACATACATGCACGCATATATCCATACATATAAAAAATTCCAACTTTGGGGATTGGAGAGGTAGCTTTGGAGTAACACTGTTTGCCCTTCCAGAGGATCTAGAATTGATTCCCAGCACTCATGTGGTAATCAGTGGGCTTAGTCTTGCTTGTGATACAAAGACATATATAGGCAAAACACTTTTACACATAAAAAGATTAAATACTCACAAAAGATTACATGTTCACTTGGAGGCAGAAGCAGGCGGATCTACAAAGTGAGTCTAGGATAGCCAAGGCTACACAGAGAAACACTCTTGAAAAACCAAAAAAAAAAAAAAAAGAGTTAAATACTAACTTTGGTATTTAATAGTTCAGAATCTTAAATATATCATATTTATTCCCATATTTGTGAAATATTAATTGTCCCTCTTTATGAAACAACAATCAATTGCATTAACTTTGTAAAAATGAGAGTCTTGGAAATTTCAAAATACTGCACAAAAGTCATTGTCTGGTCATCTTAAAAGACACTTTCAGGTCAGGCGAAGGTGGCACAGGCCTTTAATCCCAGCACTTGGGATTTGGGCAGATTTCTGAGTTCAATGACAGACTGGTCTACAGAGTGAGTTCCAGGATAGCTAGCCAGAAGTATAAAGAGAAACCCTATCTCAAAAAATCCAACTCCCCCCTTCAAAAACAAACAAAAAAAGACATTAAAAAAGTGTGCAGCATTTTAACTCGCAAATGGTTTGATGAGAATTTGGAAACAAAAATTTGTTTCATTATTAATGTTTTCTTTTTCCCTGCAGGTGATTATGGGAGTGCTATTGAAACATTGGTAACAGCAATTTCTTTAATTAAACAATCCAAAGTATCTGCAGATGATCGTTGCAAAGTTCTTATTAGCTCTTTGCAAGATTGCCTTCATGGAATTGAGTCCAAGTCCTATGGTTCTGGATCAAGGTAAAACTTTCCTGTCTCATGTATTTTTAAAACCTTTAATTAACACAAGGAAAAAGAAAGTAGAACTTTTAAAAACCTGGGACTGAGTTTATATACTGTGTGCCCAGTGGTCAGTGGAAATTTTTTTTTTTTTTTTTTGTAAATTCTAAATGCCATGCTGTTGCTTTCCAAAATCCTTAAAAGATGTCACTTAGAATAAAATTATACACAAGGAATATATGGCTTTTCTCTACTTTTAGACTGCTGTACACACTCAAGCACATTGTTTAATGTAATCTCTTCTTTGATTCTCCTAACTCCTGTATTTATTCACTGTTCTCTAGCCAAGTGGGTCTCCCTTCTCATGGACACATTAAGCATTTGACCACCTCACTAATTTTTGTGCTGATATGTCTTCTTGGAACCATTTTTCTTCTTTCCTTCTCCTCTACATTTGCCTTTGTATTTTTCATGTTTTAACTAAATCTAGTCTGTCACATTCTATCTCTTTTGTAGTATTTACTATAACCATCTGTTTTTCATTATTGATTCCTATTTCTTATTAAACACATGTTGTACAATGGTAGTGGCCTTAGCTGTTAAACTTTGCTTTATACAGGAGTCAGGATGTTTTTGAAAGATGACGTTATGAATAAATGAAAAAGTGATTATATTTTGTAGTAGATACCATTTTATTTTAGGTTTACTTATATGTATCAGTGTTTTGCTGACATGTGTGTATGTGCTCCACATGTGTGCCTAGTGCCCGAGGGCATCAGAAGAGAGCATTCATTGAGTCTCAGGAACTGGAGTTATGGATGGCTATGATGGTTATAAGCCATCATGTATGTTACTGGGAATCAAACCCTGGTCTTCTGTAAGAACAGCAAATGCTCTTAATCACTGACCCATCTTTTCAACCCCTGTAATCGATATAGTTTCCTAAAGGTTACTTTTAAAAGCATTTTTACTAATCTTAAAATTTTATTATTTTGAGAGGTAACTGTTTAATTTTTACATGATGTTATCTCTTTTGAGGCAAGTTCTCACAATGTAGACCAGGCTGGCCTTGAATATTCTCAGTGTTGTGCTTCCATACCTAGCCACATTTTTAGTATTTTTGTTTCATATGTGCAGGTATTTTGCCTGCATGGCTGGCTGTGCACCAGTCATGCTAGGTGCCCACAAAGGCTAGAAAAGGGCCTTAGATCCCCCAGAACTAAAGTTAGAGATGGTTTTGAGGCACTGTGTAGGTGCTGAGACTTGAACCTGGGTTCTCTGGAAGAGCAGAGCCACCTCTAGTTCCCTATATTACACTTCTATCTGTCCTTAGAGTGTACTTTTTCTAGAGTTAGTACCTTAAGGAAAAGGAGTTGGACACAGTCTTTACTTTGTTACTACCTTTTGGGCTCAGTGTAAATATCTCTGAAGAAATTTGTCATAGTTAGAGACATATCATTCATTGTCTTAATTGTGGGAACATCTAACTTGATCAAAGACCTTAGCATTTAATAGTTTAATAGTTCAGAAGTTACATGATAAAAGAATTCTTAAACTAATAGAATGATAAATTTTGTCTATGGCTTTTGGGTTTTTAAGATGTGGCAACATTAGCATAAATTTATTTTTTTCTTCATTATTTCATGGGTCCTCATTGTAAACCTTAACAACTTCAGCATGACTTTTTTTCATTTTCATTTTTTCAATTAAAGGAACAATATCCAAATTGCCTGTCAGCATCACTACTTCACATTTGGGACTGTTACTAAGTAATCCATTCCAGCATAAGTACTGCACTATACTGTGATACTTAAGACATACTGAATAAATAATGGGCATATAGCATATGGTGGGAGTACACTGGGCAGAGGGATGGTTCACAATGCAAGCAGGAAGGAGCCAAGATGATGAAAGATTTCATTATGATTACTTCAGTCTAGGTACCATGGGTCCTGGAAATATGACTAGGGGCTGCAAGTGAATGAAGAAAGGACAGATAGACTTCCAGAATCAGGGTTCTGCTATGGCTTCAACCCGTAACTTAGAACTTCACATATATTAGGTGCAATACTGGGGGAGGGGCTAGCTAGTCTAGAGAGGAGATCTCTATAGAGTAGCAGTTGCTGTCTGAAAAATAAAATGTCCTAGAGGAAGCTGCCTTTGTTACTCATTGGTCAGTCCATAAACATTCATACTCAGACTTCTGAAGATAGTTTGCTACCCCTCTTGGCCTGGCCTTAATGAGAACCCCCTTTGTCAGTGTTCCATGGGGTTCACAGTTAAGGCCTTGCAATCCCCACATGGCTTTGGCCATGTCAACAATACACAGTCATTCAAAACTTTACTCAGTCAGGACTTCCTCTACTCCTACAACTAATCAGAAAGGCATAAACGTGTTTTATATCTGAAATCTTACATTTAATATTTTCAGACTGGTTGACTTGTAATTGAAACCATGGAAATAAAACTAGTGATAAAAGAAAACCTATTGAATGTCTTTGAAGCTCTACAGCTATGGACAGCATTAATCCAGTAATTTCTTTTAGAAGACGTGAACGATCAAGAGAAAGGGACCATAGTAGATCACGGGAAAAGAGTCGGCGTCATAAATCTCGGAGTAGAGATCGCCATGATGATTATTACAGAGAGAGAAGCAGAGAGCGAGAGAGACACCGCGATCGTGATCGGGACCGTGACCGGGAGCGCGACCGAGAGCGAGAGTACCGTCACCGTTAGAAGGTGGGCATTCCTTTTCATTCTTTTACTTAGTGTGTGTGTGCTATCAACAGTAATCATGACTCCAAGGCTGTTGTTTATACAGTAAATATACCTACATTTTAAGTGGTCCAAGTACTTGTTCTGATTTAATCTTCTGGAAACACCCGAAAACAGGTAAGCCACTACAGGTAAAAAAATTTTGACCTTTTTCCATTGAATGTTGTATTCCTGAGTTATCTGTGACTTTTAGATTTCAGATTGTTTGTGGTCTTAAAGCAAGAAAAATAATCAAGAGGACTCATTGTGTACTTCTAAAATTTGAAAATTGGATTCTGCTAATCACATACATTGTTTGCATGTGATTTAAAATATTTATAAAATACCAAGGGATTGCTTCAGATATGAATTTTATATGCTTGGATTTTTAAAAATAAAATTTCTGTCCTTCCTTCCTTGAACTAACTTTATTTGTCCCTGAAACTTTTAAAGAAAATCTAACACTGTAATAGGTTACAATACAAAAGGATGTTTTTCCGCATTGAAAGAGGGTTTTTTTCCTTAAAAAATTTTTTTGGAAAAAAAAAATTTCTAGCACTTCATTTTTGTTTTTTTAAAGGAAAATTATCTTTTTAATTTGCAAAGAAGGTGTAAAGTGGGTTAAGGGTACATATCTAAAAAACTTTAAATTGCCAAGTAAGTGCCAAGCTATACATCCCAAGTTATAAATACTTGGAAATAATTTTCTTTGATGTTTCATTCATAAGCCATAATCATTGTCTTTTTTTCTGTATTTTAAAAATTTCTTGTGTACATTTTTTCATAAAGTAAAATGAGTTGTCTGTTTATATTTCATTTTTACATGTAATTTTATTTTATATTTGTGGACAGTGTTTACTCATGAAGAGTGGGGAAAGAGCACTGTGAATCTTTTGCATGTGGCAGATTATTCTAAACACCTTCGCTTCATATATTGATGGCATATTTGAATTAGGCTTAAAACAAATCCTCTATAAGTAAATACTTCATAGAAACGTACTGAAAATCCAACCTTGAAAATTGTTAATATACAAATTGTAATTGGCTTTGTTGTGTATGTAATTCTGCAGCTAGCAGTTTCTTTAATCACACACATATGCACACACACACACAATCCTTTTTAAAAAAGAAGACAGATGTAAGTCTTAGTTTTTATGGAACACAAGTATTACTCTATGGCTTACGGGTTTTTTGAAATGAGAAAGCCCCCCCCCCTTTTTTTTTTAAAGATTTATTTATTTTATGTATATGAGTGTTTTATCTGCATTTACATCTGCCAGAAGAAGGAATCAGTTCACATTATAGATGGTTGTGAGCCACCATGTGGTCGCTGGGAATTGAACTCATGACCTTTGAAAGAGCAGACAGTTCTCTTAACCGCTGAGCCATCTCTCCAGCCCGAGAAAGCCCATTTAATACTTGTCTTACATCTTAAATATGCCTCTTAATATTTATAAAAACTTTACTAATTATGTTGCATTACATTTTTAATTCTCGAAATATTTCTTTATTTTAAAATTGCTAAAATCAGTACTGTTTGGATATTTATTTGTTTGTTTATTTTAGTCTTTGTAGTTTAGCAACCATTTTTATAGTTACCAAAGATATGATAGTGAAACTTGGATAAAATTTTCAGTAATTTGGTGCATCCATCCAGGGGCCTCTAAAACAGTTCATATGTAGAGTTAATTAGTAGCAGTTTTCTTATGGGTCTTCATAAAATTAATCCAGTCAGCCAAGTATATTCCTTTTGATAATTTCATTGTTAATTTTACATAATTTGAATTTACACTCCAGTCAAGAGTATACACATAAATAAATCATGATTTGAGTTCCATGTCATTCAGGCATTAACTACAATTTCTTAGTGTGCAGTTGATGTTTTTTGCAATTAGTGATGTACCATACCCCAAATTCTATGTTTTGTTTGTATATTAATCAGAATTGAGTTGTAATATTGTTGTGTGCCTTCATCCAAGCCAAATTTTACAAAAGCCTTTCCAGTGCAAAAAAAAAAAAAAAAAAAAAAGAAAGAAAGAAAGAAGGAAAGGAAAGGAAAAGGGAATAAAGATATGTTTTCCTGGATTACTGTATCTTTGCTATATACCAAGAGGTATTGATTGTGTAAGCTGATGTGAGTAAGAGGGTGGGGGCTGGGATTAAATACATATATCAAGTGCAAACCTAGTTACAAATTTTATTGCCATTTTAAGGTCTGTTGACCTCTTTAGAAGTTTTTAAATATGAGTCCTTTTGAACTTGTAATTTTAAATGGAATAAATGGAATAAGAAGTACTTCAATAAATTAAATGTCAGTCTTTGTGTAAATTAATAATGTAATATGCTCTCAAGTGATGATGGTGGGTAAAGGGCAGGTTCTGGAAACTTAATGTTGGCAGCTGTTAATGTCTGTCTCATCTTAAGTTTTTTGTGTTTGAACTGTTGGGTAACGTTAATTGCATTCTCATTTGAAAAATGTATTAGTTTTTCTAAAAGCATTCCATATCCAAGTTCAAATAGGTAATACAATACTTAAATGAGAAAAATAAGTTTTGTAAATTTCAGTGTGTAAATGCATTGTGCTTCATATACTGTAATTTTACCTTTATTCTCAGACCACTCTGAGCAAAATAAAAGATGTAAGGTTGTATTCTTACAGAAATAATGTTACTGTTGCAGTTACAGTTGTTCCTTTCTTTAAGTTGTGTTCCTCTCACCACTTTTAGAATAGCCCCACTCAGCAGTTTCTGTTAACAACTGAGTTTTGTGTACTGAAGACTAATGGGAGAAAATTCTTTCTCTAGATGCTTTTTAATTAGAGTTCTCTTCTTAATTTATGAGATTCACATGTTCTCAAGTGATTACCTTCTTTTTGCTACATACTGTGTTTGGAATCTGCGTTAAATAACTGTAAGAGTTGGGCTGTTGTGATTCCTGCTGGCATAAATGTCATAAACTTGGGTTTAATTACTGCACAGGATTTAGGATGCTTTGTGTTGGTTATTCAGATTATTATAGCTTGTGTTAATTTGAGGGAAAGCCCAAAGACAAACATTTCTTTTATATTAAGATGTTCCCATCTCCTTAGGAGTGTTATGTTGAGGCTTTTGTGAAAATTAAATTCTCTTCATCGCCTGGTGAATGATAACTGTTTCAAAATTACTTTTACAGCTCTTAGATCACGTGGTCCCTGCCTAGTAGTCCCAGCTTTGTTTTCTTAAGTTCTCCTATATATCTCAACTGCTCTGCTTCATCTTGCTTTGCTGGCTCTTATTTCTTCTCTCATTTCTTAGAATTTTAGTATTTGTAAAATCTGACTATACTCTGACTTACTTGAGTGACAAGAGAGGGTAGGAGGTGATCCTTTGGATGTATGTATAGTGTTTTGCTCACTGTGGTTTAAGAATATAGTTTTGTTTATAAATGATGTTCTCTGTCTTAAAAAAACTCAGTGCCAATGTGAGTCACTTTGCTCTCTCACCTTCATTTCAATGTGGAACCCTTCCATTGTTTAGTTTGCGTATTGGTTTGTTTTGAATAAGTAATGTTTTAAATGACTATTCAGTTAGCATTGTTTAAAAGAAACCTCATAACACGAGTCTCATTCATGTTATTCAAATTTATGCTTTTGTTTTCTGTGGTTAGCAAGATCTAACTCTTGACCGTGGATGAATTCTAAATAACAAACAGCTTATTTTGAAATGTCCATATTTTTTGGGTGACTTTTTGGCACAAATCTTTTTTTCTTTCATTTCCTGTTTTGTGATGGAGTTTATTTCTATGTAGTCAATTGCATAGTGCACTTAATTGTGTATTTTGGAGAGTAATAAAAATACTTTATTTGAAATGGGGTAAGTATGATGTTCAGAGAAAAACAGGAAAATATAAGCTTGTTTCAGTAGCTAGGAGCTTTTTGTGAATATCAGTAATAAACAAAATTGTTTTTTATGTACTGTGTTCTAGTCAATATAAGAAAAAATTTAGGATTAATATGTTCATATGCTTCTGTTGCCTACCTCATCCCCATTCCTCAGGAAGCAGAAATTTTCAGATCTGGCAGGGTAAATTTTATTTATTTAAAAGCATTGCATTTCTAAAATTAATTTGAGGATCCTTTTAAATTCAGCACATTAATATGAAAATCTGTAAGAGCTGGCTGTTATAGTGCACACCTGTGACCTCAGTACCTAAAGAGACTGATACAGGAAGATCCTGTGAGATCCAGGCCAACCTGGTTTACATGTAGAGTTTGAGGCTAGCCAGGCCTTTGTACTAAGACCCTGTTTTAGAAATAAAAACACTCAACATAAAAACCTTAAGAATTCCTATCAAATAAATATTCAAATGTTTTATTTAAAAAGATAAATTTACCATGAGTTTTAAAATATGAATAATACCAAGATTGCATCTATAAGTACCAAACACTCAATTTGAGTTGTTCATAATGGTTTGATAGTACATTACTCAGAGCATAGGTGTTTCACTCTGTATTGAGATTTTCCTGCTTGCTTTAGCTTGCAGACTTTAAAGCTATAGTTTCATTGTCTTAGTTCATTTAACAGCTGTTTACATAGATTCTTTTTTATAACTGACAGCTAAAGCAAATAATTGTGTGGCTTTGACATTATAGATTTGATCAAATGCTATTTTGAACATATGGACATTCAATGTATGTGTTACTTTTAAGCTCTTTGATAACTTTGTTTATGTAGATGTCTACTTAGACATTTGACTATAATATGGAATTGGATTATTGGAAATGGGTTGTATTGCCTTCAAATTTTTCTTCCGTTTGAGATTGTAAAATTTGTGTTTACATATGTAAAGTGTTTAGAAATAGAAATAAACGTTTCTAAACTATTCCCTAAATATTATGTCTGTATGGTGAAAATTTAAGATTCATCAGTTAGTAAAGACTTATCTATAATATAATGAAGCAAAAGAGGAGTGCCTTAGTTCTGCATGAGGGTGTATATTACGACCTCACAAACGGGATTTCCTGTATAAAAGTAGTAAGTTTCTATTGGGGTCAGTTTTTCTTTTTCTTATTCCCACACTGTGACACTGAATATTTTTTCTCTCAGTGATTGATTCATTCTTCACAACACAACAAAAATATTAGGGAAGAAAGCATTTCTTTTTTCGTAGAATTTACAAAATTTCCTACAGTCTTTTTTATAGATTAAAACATGTGCCTTTTCTTTCTCTAATTTCTGTTTTTAAAACTCACTAGTGCTACAAGTATTAGTGTAGGTCATGGGCTTAGCATGTGTGTGGAGTCCTGGATTTAGTTCTCAGTATCAATCCCAGGAAACAAATAAACAAAAAACCTACCAGAATTGTAACCTGTAAAAATAAAACATTTGAAAACTGACATTGTAAATTTTTTTCTGTTGCATAATTCCTCTATATAAGGCTCATCATAAAAATCAAAGGTATAAAAGGTGGCTACTATAAATAGCTTAAATGTCTCTAAAAAGGCAGATACATAGAAAGTATTTAGATGAGAAAGAACCTTTTCTATTGTACTTTTAAGATTTAAGGGAGTATGAATATGTGGAATGCATACTGATACTCTTAAAATTCTTCCAGTAGAGAAATGAACACAAAGTTTAAGTTGTCACAGAAATTGTTCCTAAGTATAAAGCAAAGAATCTTTTAAAATTATTTTTATGACAGAATGCTACTAAAAAGCAAATTGTGTGCTTTTGAAAAAATATTAAAATACCCTTTTAGTATTTCTAGTTAAATATTTGGTATTTCAATGATCATTTTTTTTTTTAAATTAATGTTTCCTTTTGGGGCATTTACTTGAAATTTACATAAATGTGTATTCCTGAGACTATAGTATCAATTTTATTATTGGCTTCCCCTCTATCCCTTTAAGTTTTTAATGAAATTTATCAGTGTAGATTCTCATTAGTTTATATTTGGTTAGTGGATATAGGTGAAATAGAGTGAAAGTAATGTCTCAATTTTGTACTATGTCTAAAGATTTGTATGTGGATGTCATTTAATGTTCATACTGAGGTATTGATTTATAAATTTTGTAACATGGAACTTTATTGGTTTATAACAAATTGACAGAAGTTCATGTATGCTGTCAAATACAGTTAATTTGTAAATTTCATTGCATTTTATATTCAGTTCAGCATCTGTTAAATAAATTGGTTTGTGGATGAATGAAAAATATCTACATTCAAATCAAGCATTTTCCCATTTATTTTTGTAGTATGCATATTTTAGAAAATGACTTACGACTGTTCTCATCACAGAAACAGTAGCTGCTGTGTTTTCATTTGTTACTGATTGTTTTCTTTATAAAATTAGCATATATTGTATGCAACAGTGGTCTTCATTTGAGAATCACTGAATTTCAAAGATAATATGTAAAAAGAATGAAATGAGAATTTCATATTTTGAATTTGTAAATTGGGAGCATTTCTCCACCATACAAGCAGCTACTGTTTGAGTTACTCTTTATTTTGTGTTAGAATACCTAACAGTGAGTAGATGCACGACTTGTGTATGTATAGCTAAGCCAACATTTTTCTGTGTATTCTGGGGAATAGCAAAATCTACATCACAAATTTTGACACATTACAGCTGAAGGAAGAGGAACACCTTCCAAGACAAAACAGTCTTCATGGGGGAAAAGTGACGCTTGTCCAGCAGTTTGCTTCTTGTGATTGAACTGAACCTGTAAGGATTCATGGATAAACTGAGCAGGAATAGATCTGAATAAAGCAAATCTGCATAAATGGTAACCAGTAGCTCTACTTTATTTTTTATGTTGCTTAACTGTTTTATTTGAAGGAAACCTGTGTGATTTAAAAAGTTAATAGCTTTTGCAACTTTATTACTGGTTATATATATTTGGCCATTATAATGTGCAAGCAATTGGAAACAAAAAAGTCAAGTAAATGCTTGTTTTTATAGTAGTTTGTTCTTGTTAAAATGTTCATATGATAATGTCTGTAAACAGCACCACTTTGATTACAATAGATGTAGTGTTGTAATAAACTGTTTAATGGGGCTGATGTGTAAAGCTGTTCAAGTTATTTGATGTTTACACCTCAGGGAAAGTCTTGTGTTCAGCAATATCTACAGATAATGTTACTATGACAACATTTTTACTGTCCTTTAAAAAAGCATTGCAATAGCGTGTTTGGATATGCATCAATCTAATCTTGGCGTTCAGTGAATTAAACATAACTAATTAAGTGTCTCTTGCCCTTGATTTTGATATTAGAATAGGTGATTACATGGGTATTTAATATTTCTATATTCTGCTTTTCTAGCTGTTTTTACCTAGTTAGCTTGTGATTTTGCTGAATGGTATGTAAACTTGTAAAAACTGAAATTTGACAGATATAGCAATCTAGTCAATGTGTTAGGGGTCACAGAATTTGAGGTTGTTACATTTTGGTAAAAAATCATGTATTTGCTACAGTAGTACAGCTTAATTACAACCCAGATATACAGAAACAATTAATTGTGAACTGCTAGCACTTAAGAGAGACTTTGATAATTCTGATTTGATGCAGTAATTTTCTGTTTCATGCTGATGGTGCCATAGGCAGTGTAAATACAGCCATACAGCATGTAAAAATGAGTAAAGAAAGCCCGAGTATTCTACTTAATTGAGATTTCTGAGAGGTGTGATGTTTACTAACATTGGGTTGTATTCAGTGTGAGTAATGAGCAATTACAGTTACACCCCGTCTTCATGGTTCAAGGAATTGTATGTATATTCCTGTAACCTCGTTGATTTATGTTTGATTAGAGCTAATCAGCTGAATTTTTTTCAGCCAGCTGTAATTAATGAAAGGCTGTACTAAAAGCATCTGGCTGGCATATGTTCTGCACACTTAGCAGAAGCAGACGCTCAACTTGATTACTTATTTTTATAGGAAGGTAAAAATCAGAATACTAAGGAAATTTGAGATAAAATCCTTAAGCTAATTTGTTTTGAATATATTTTAAAGATCTTATTACCAATGAGAGATCTTTGGTGGGATGCATTGGCTTTTAAAGCTTGTCTAAATTAAAGGGCAATGCTTAAGGTATGTATAATAGCTAGAGATAATGTGTAGCTCAAGAGATTTGTACTTCTTCAGCTTCATCCCTTTCTGTTTTTAAAGTACTCAAAAATTAGTTTTAAAATATCCATACCACTGCCAGTTCATTTTAAAACATTTTGTGAGCAGAGTATTTTTGCAAGGGATCATTGGTGTTTACTAGAACTGTTGTTAGCACTCAGAAATGATTTTTAAGTGTTTAATCTTGTTGAAATGTAGTTGCCTTTTAATTTGAGAGTTGTATCAAAATCTATTTTCTTGTTTTGTGTATAGGTATTGTAAGTTTTTGTCATTTCTTAGCTTTTTTAATAGTTTAATTACAATACCCTAATGTGAAGACATTTGGACATACATATGTTTACAAGGGAAATTAGTTAATAATAAGATTGAAAGGTAAGTAAAATGTCCACAAGGATAAATTTTCTCTGAACATTTTAAAAATGGAATCACAAATACATATACTTGAAATGAAACTGGAGATTTTGTACTAATTTTAATCCTTCATTACCTTTTATTTCTTTTTTGTTTTTAACTCAGTTGGAACGGTTAATTGCGCCCTTTATGTCATCCTTCTTTTTGCTTGGCTTATTTCATTAAGTGACTTTGGTTGCAGGTAGTGTGAGTGTACTAGAGTTGTTTGCTGCTGCTAGGTGATTTTTTTTTAAGTGTTGTCAGGAAGAAATAAAATAACTTTTTGTGTAATTTTGCAAAGTCTCCTACCTGATAACACATGAATGTATAGCAGTAAAAAATTACAAACTTTGTTTTATTTGTCAAAGCCCTTCTGTTGTTTTTGGAGCCAGTTTTATTTGAAAACTTGTTTTTAATGTGTAAAAACAATCCAAAGATACACATCTTTGCAAAGACACCAAAAAAAAAAAAAAAAAAGAGAGAGAGAGAGAGAGAGAGAGAGAGAGAGAGAGAGAAAGAAGAAAAAAGGACTTAGGGAGAATTTTAAGAGCTACACTTCATATAGTGGCAATGAAAACAAGCTTGAGTTTATCTTGAATGCTATCATTGCCTAGTGCTGTGCAGTCACATTCCTTAACTAGTAGTAAAGTTACAGATATGTGGTAAGCGCCCACATGGTATTTCTCCTGCAGCAGCGTTTTTGAATTCCATTCACTGCTTTGAGGTAAAGGAAATACTTCTGTAGAAAGGATTATTTCAGTGTAATTTATAAATGTTTATGTTTTGTTAGTTTTCATCAGCAAGATTTTGGGTGACTTGCTATAGCTGTTGATCATACTTGTTAGCTCATTTACTGGCTCCTTTACCTAGAATATTCTTAAGCAGTTAACTACAATTTGGAAATTCACAATAATATGGAGCTTAAGATATTATTTTCATTTGATTCTCCTATGGAGACTGTTGATTTAGCTTTTACTAGTTTAAAGTCAGTTCTAAAAATAAACATGGAAGTTTTCATGAACGTTGCATAATATTTTATGGTAAAGGGAAAAGTTGTTGGAAAGGGTAAGAGTGTCTCTTTCCCTGTGTATTTGAATGTGCCAATAACCTAAGTACGTTCTGTTACATATAATGAGATGCTACTGCAAGACTCTACTGTTGGAGTGCTCTTGGCATTTTAGTTTTGTTACCCAAATGGTCATTGCATTATTCGTGTATCTTACAAGGTGGCCCCGATATTGTGTTTTAAGCTTCATCTTGCGTTATTTTAAGGGGAAGTTTATGTTCTGATTCTTTCCTGAGCACACAGTATTGAGATTCTTGTGATTGCACAGATAACTGATTTTTAAATTTTATTCATGAAGTTCATTTTGCATCCCATAGCCCTCTGTAAATGTTTCCCCCAGTTGTATGTACTTACTAAATGCACGCTTATTCATTGTACATACTAGAAATTTTTGTGCTAAAATATATTAAGTAGGATTTTTGTAGCAAAGCATTCTATTTTTATGTTCTTATAGTGTATGTGTTAACATTAATATTCAGTTTCAACACTGGTGTATTTATTTTTTAGCAACTTGACTCCTAGAAGCCTTAGACTGACTTTTAAATAAACATTCAACCAAAAATTATGAATTTATTGAGATGTGGCCTTATATATGGTGTTTCTGTGTTCATAACATGAGATTTTTTTAAATTTAGATTTTATTTAAATAAAGATTTAGAATTAGTTTCACTTTAAGTCAAAATAGAAAATGTATTAAGCATCTAGGCTTCTGGGAGGAAGTTCTTATACTCTTCTTTCTTGGCATTAGAAAGAAGCAATATGAATTTATGAATATTCCAAATATTCAGGCCATTGTATTATGTTCATATTGGGTTAGGTTTGTTTTAGCCCAATGTTTCTTTAAAGTTCTAGGTTGTTGGCATTCATTGAACATATAGCTACTATGGTTTTTGTATGGGATGTATGAATTCTTGGTTATATACAGGCAGATTTCAGTGTTTTAAAGACTTCCTGCTACATTAATTATATTGTAATGGGAGGCTTTTAAAACATTAGGTAAAATTTAATTGAAGTCACACAAATATTGAATGGTATCTGTGGATAGTAAATACTACGAGCATTTTTTTTCATGTCAGAGTACCCTAAAACTCCATGGGAGTAAATTACATTCATTTCAAATTGGACAGACCCAAAATATTTTATTTTGAAGGTGCATTTTTTTTTTTTTTGCCTCACTGTTGCTGCATAACACTTCTCAGCATTTCTGTATGCACATTATTTTAAAATACAGTGATAAATTCGTGTTTGTTTATTTTTTTACTTTGGCAATTATAGTACTGAGGTGATATTTAATGGGAAATGACCCTTTGGGGGTGAATCATAATGTATTTTGAGGACTGCAACTATATAACATTTATGACTTTAGCCTTAAAAAAGGTTTATTACTCCTTTCTTTGCATCCCATGGTATAGTAGCAAAGTAGTTTACAGCCCAGCACAGCCTTACAAAGTTATTTTACAATTTTTTATGGAAAACCCCTAACAACAAAAAATTGTATCGTATTATAGTACCCATGAGTTATTGCATAATCACTCTTTGTAAATAAGTTGTCTAATATCAGAAGGCCAAAGAAAGTCTTGAGATTTTAGCTATTGAATGTGGTGACTTCATAAGATTTCTGTGCAAAAGGTAAGGTGATAATCCATCAAACAGGCACCCTTTTGATGTCCATGAAAACTAGACTTCCATATTAGCTTCTTTCAAAGGCTCATTCCCATTTTATTAAAATGTTTGTACTTGCAATTTTGTGTTTAATGTTTACTTTGTCTTTTCTTTCTTTAGCATTTAGGTGACTGTTCAGCAGTTTGCTATATGGCCATTGTTGGCCTTAAACTGCACTAGTAACAAGCATGGTATTTATCTTGTATTGAAAATAAAAACAAAGTTTTGATAATACTTTGCATTTTGTCCTTTTTGTTTGACTTATAATTTGTAAACTAATTTTTTAACCTTAAATAGTAATCTACTGGGGAAATGGCAGTATTAACAGAGCTTAGGTGATCATATTTATTTTGTCTAAGCCAACCTCCTTGAAAGTGGTTATTTTCTCCTGACATAGTTTAAAAGTTTTAATTAACTTATTTTGTATGCATGCATGTGTGTGCCAGCCACGGCCCATTTGTGGAGGTTAAAGGACAACGTTGGCAGCATCACCTTTACTTGCTGAGCCAACTGTCTAGAATTATGATTGCCTCGTCTTAAGATTTTGAACTTCACCGGTCCTTCAGAAGTAAAAACATTTTCTGATCACAGCAACATACTATACCAGTCAACTTGGGAACATTATAGGACATACTTTTAAGTAGTAACGGATTTGTTCTTCAAATATCTGATCCATTGGCGGTAGAGATACAACTCAGTGGGTACAGAACTTACTTGCATGCAGTGCAAGAAGTCTGGGTTGGGTTCATAGCACCACGTAAGACAAGCTACAGTGGGACACATTTATAATTCTAGCACTCAGGATCAGAAATTCAGATTTATCCTCATCTCATGAGATTCAGGCCACCTGGGCTATGTGAGAGTAAGCTTTTAAAAAAGAGAGACATATCTGATATACAAATGTTGAATTAGATGCAATTTCTTACATGCAAACTCTGAGTAACAATGCTAAGCAATTTAGATAGAAATAATACAGGTTACCATCATGCTTATGTGGCATTGTTAGGTTTCTTGTTAGTGTTTATGCATTTTTAAAGTTGCTTTATCATTGGAATAATTTGAGGCTCTTTGTCTATAGCCTTTATATAACAACAGAGAGCATGTAACTGAAAGTTACTGGGGATATCTTGAGTAGAGAACATATTAAACTACCAGAGAAACAATCACAACCTGCATTGCCTCAAACTTAGGCTATAGCTAAAGATGACATTGAATTTTGGATCCCTCTGCCATGTTTGAGTGCTGTCTTGAAGGATGTGGTGCCATTCTCAGTTTCCACAGTGCTAGGAATTGAAACCCAAGGCTTCCTGCATGATAGCCAAGTACTCTGCCAAACTGATTACGGCTCCAACCTGGGCAGAACTGTGTCTGTCCCCTGAACAAGGGATTTAAGATGATTTTTCTAGTCTTTGTACTTGTGGTTCCTAACTCTAATGGTGAAATAACTACTTCTAATGCTACTGTGGGCCTTTATCAACTTTTATCTTCCAGTAGCAGAGTGCTTAGGAACTCTGAACATTGATTCTGATCAGGTATGCAGGATTTTCATACTTCAAAAAACACACACTTAGTGGAGTGTGGTACGGTGTGCCTGTGATTACCAGCACTTGGAAGTGGAGGTAGGAGAATCCATAGTCTGAGGCTAAACTAAATTACCAGTTAGTCCTGTACATATGTGTTTCTGTTGTGTAGACACATGCTGTCAGATCTGAGGACAGCATAAAGGGTTCTTCCTTTCCACCTTTGAGATAGCATCTCCCTTGTTTCTGCCATATTGGCACATTCCAGGCTATCAGGCTTGTGATCAGATGGGTGAATCTCCTGTGTGTGCTTCAAATTAAGCTGTGCTTAAATCTCATACTGAGATTTAAAAATGTGTGCTACCCCAGGGTCTAGTTATACCACTCCTGGGCACATATCCGAAAGATGTACAACCATAAAACAAGGACATTTGCTCAACTATGTTCAAAGCGGCTTTATTCTTAATCGCCAGAATCTGTAAACAACCCAGATGTCCCTCAACCGAAGAATGGATACAGAAATTGTCGTACATTTACACAGTGGAATACTACTCAGCAATTAAAAGTAAGGAAATCATGAAATTTGCAGGTAAATGGATAGAACTAGAAAAGATCATCCTGAGTGAGGTAACCCAGAAGCAGAAAGACACACATGGTATATACTCACTCATAAGTGGATATTAGCCATATGATATAGGAACTAAAATCTATAGTCCTAAGGAAGCTAAACAAGGAGGAACCTAGGGAAGATGCTTGATTCTCATTCAGAAGGCCAAACAGGATAGACGTCGGAAGCAGGAGAAGACAAGAAGCAGGACAGGAGCCTTCCACAAGAGGGCCTTTGAAAGAGTCTACCCAGCAGGGTATTGATGGTGAGACGTATGGCCAAACTGGGCAGAGTGCAGGGAATCTTAGAAGAAGAGGGAGATAGAAAGACCTGGGAGGGACAGGAGCTCTACAAGGAGACCAACAGAGCCAAAAAAATCGGCCCAGTGAATCCTGCAAGAGACCATGCATGGAGAGGACCTAGCCCTCTGAGATGGGCTCAGATGTAGCCCATAGGCAGCTCAGACTCCAACTGGATTCCCTACTAAGGGGATCAGGGGCTGCCTGTCATGAACTCAGTTCCTGCCTCTGCATTCTTTATGACAGCCCATGAACTAGTTAGTTACTTCTTTTCTAAAAGGAGAGCAGGCATAGGCATTGCATTTTAATTTCTGCCTAGGGCTTTGTGTCCTGTTAGCAATTTGAAGATGGCACAAGCCAGAGAGACAGTGTCCTTACTGATAAACAAGACAATGGTTCCTCCAACTTCTATTATACCCATCTCGTCACAGACCAAGAAAATGGGAGAGCAGGGGCAGTTGCTGCCATGAACATGGTTGCCTGTTCTTTTATCACCTACTCCTGGTGAGGCGGCCTTATTAGGCCAGAGAAAGAGGATCCAGACAGTCCTGATGAGACCTGATAGGCTAGGATCAGGTAAGGGAAGGAGGACCTCCCCTATCAGTGGAATGGGGGTTGGGGGAGAGGAAGGGAGGGTGAGACAGGGAGGAGATGAGGGAGGGTTAAAGGCACTTGAGCCATTCCTGAAGACCTGAATTCCATCTCCAGCACTCATGTGGTCTAAGAAGAGACCTAACTCCTGTGGATTGCCCTCTGTACACAAGCACAGCCTAAACATTGACTGGACCAAAATTATTTGATGCTGTGTTGTGTGATTCAGTTAGCTTTATAAGGAAAATGCTACCTTTTTGTTACTATTATATGGTCTAAAATTTCAGTAGAAAAAGTGGTCTCTAGCAACATTGGCACTAATGGGGCCAGAAGCTGAATTTTGCATTTAACTATAATTCCCAAGAATATACGTTAAAGGTTTATAGGTTTCTCTTTTCATTTTTTGCTTGGTTTGGTTTGTTTTTTTTTTGAGGCAGGATTTCTCTGTGTAAACAGCCCTGTCTGTCTTAGAACTCTTCTTAGAACTCACAAAGATCCGCCTGTCTCTGCCTCCTGAGTGCTGGGACACCTGCCTGTTTGTTGTTCTTAAGATAAGGTCTCATTCAGGCTTCTTTTGAACTCAGAAACCTTCTGCCTCCTAACTGCAAAGATTATAGTCCTGAGCTACCCCACCCACACTATAGTATCTTTATCTTAGTTAGGTATCTTATAAAAGTCATATCTTCAAAGTACTTGGTTAAGAAAATGAACAGTTGACAGAAGAGATGGCTCAGTAGTTAGGAGACTGACTGCCTGCTCTTCCAGAGGACCCGGGTTCATTTCCCAGCCCCCACATGGCAGCTCACACCTGTCTGTAACTCCAGTTTCAGGGCTTCTGACACCTTCACACAAATAAAAATGCAGATAAAACACCAATGAACATAAATTATACGTATAAAAAGAAAATGAAACTGGGCAGTGGTGGTGCACATCTTTAATCCCAGCACTCAGGGAGGCAGAGCAGGTAGATTGCTGTGAGTTCAAGGCCAGCCTGATTTACAAAAAGCAAGTCCGGGACAGTCAAGGCTACACAGACCCTCTCTCGAAAAACAAGAAAACAGTTCAGAGTTTTGAACACATTAAATGCCACTGATTTACCTTTATAACTATATGTAAAAAGCTACATATTTCTTCTTTTTTTTTTTTTTAATGGTGATTTATATGTTTTGCTTTGTAACAGATCCTGGTCTATGTCCTTCCAATTCTAGGCAGGTACTACCAACTGAGCTACAGATAGCTTTTCTGAAAATGTTAGTAGTGGACTGCCATCTAGTGGTAGGCAAGTAAGTCCAATAATTGTTCATTTGGGAAAAATTTTCAGTTAAGAGATTAGGAATCTGCTGGGCGTGGTGGTGCACACCTTTAATCCCAGCATCCAAATGAATCTGTGAGTTCAAGGCCGATGTGCCCTCCATAGTTCCATGAAAGCCCGGGCTGCACAGTGAGACCTTATCTCAGGCCAACAAAAAGAGAGTTGATACAGAATCAACTGGTGGGCAAATCCTCACCGCATGCCTATGAGGGATTATCTAGATGGGTACTGTAATTTTCGGGGGGGGGGGTCACCATTTCATGAGCTGGGGTCTAAAAGGAAAAAGTGACCCGGTCACGGCGACTGACACTCATCTTCCTGACTGGGGATGCAGTTTGACCAGCAGCTTTATGTTCCTGCCTTAGTACTTTCCTGGCCATCTTGGGGTTTCCCCTATACTAAAATAAACATTTAAGTAGTTTTGCTCAGATATTTTGTTTCAGCAACAAGGAAAGCACCTAACACAAATCCTACACTAAATGACCAACCAAGGGCAGGTTCATGTACTTACAGCCTAGAACTTCCTTAAAAGTTCTTTTAAAATCCAAAGCCTCTACTAAGAAGATGTGCATACTCCAATAATGTGTCCACCATAATGCGCTGACTTTCTTGGTGAAGTCACTAGGGTCCTTCATACTTGTCGTATTTATTTCTAAATTCATCTAATATACATGAAGTTGTTTAAAAGATTTGTTTGAAGGGGTTGGAGAGATGGCTCAGAGGTTAGGAACACTGGTTGTTCTTATAAAGATCATGAGACAAATTCCCAGCAACCAATGGTGGCCCATAACCATCTGTAATAAGATCAGGTGCCCTCTTCTGGTGTGCAGGCACACATACAGACAATACTATATTAAAAAAATTAAGAAGGAAAGTGTTTAAAAATATATTTGATATTTAATACA